GAGGCCAGTGGTAAAAGGAGAGCCAAAGCCAAAGCAGTGTGCTATCAGGGAAGCCTAGAGGAGAAAGTGCTGGAAGGGGCGGGGGAGGCAAGAGTCAGCAGCATTCTTCCTGAAAGCAGGGTCAGGTACAGACGGAGAACTAGCTGTACCTCATCCTCATAAGAGATTAACTGTGAAGCTAACGAAACGTAAGTTTCACGGCGTGTCACTGGCACAGGCTCCTTCCGATGCCTGTACCTAACTTTGTATCTGCAGTTTTGTATTCCTTTGCTTAGACGATTCTCCAAATTGTATGTCCTCAAGCCCCATAAAACCTAGATGTGGTCCTCTTCAGCATCCTTCACCTCTCTGTGATTACCTGACCACATATCCTTCACGGACATCATTTCTTCCGTAGCTTCTCGGGACAGGTTACCCTCTGCCACTGTTCTCTCCTCCTCTCCTGCTAATTATTAGGCTAAATAATTGAAGACGTGGGCTAATGCTTGACCTTAACCTTGTCCTCACTACACTGTGCCTCTGTGAACTGATTCATCCTTCTCATCCCTGCTTGAGAACTCCTTCCAGCAAGGATCTCTCCTTCCCAAACATGGGCAAAGAATTAGGCCCTTTTGAAAGTAATGTGCCGTGATAAAAATGTATCTCTTTATAAAGCTCACGAGCAAAAGATGAAATGGACATGCCTGGTTCAGTCAGTATTAATCGTTGGCATGCTCTTTCAGAAGAGAAGCAGAAAGCAACCTGTGTCAGATAGACGGAGGTCAGACTTTTGTAACCAAATCTGCAAAGGCTCATCCATCACTTCTTGCCTTTTTCTGCTGATAGATCTGGCCCCCACACAAGGGACAGGGTTGCACGAGGGAGTGAATACCAGCAGCCCAGCCGGGGATCCCTGGGAGCTATTTTAGGAGCTGCCTACCACAGGGCCCCTGCCCCCCAGCAACCCCCAACGTGGCTGAGAAAGCATTATGTAAGTACGTGAGAAAGACTAAGATATTGCTGGTACAATTGCCAATTTATGTAGGTGTATGTTACTCTACAGTCCAGACGCTGTGTTCCTGGCAGGTTACCCGTGACACGTTTTAGATGGTCGCTAATCTTTGGCGTACTTTGAGATGCATTCCACAGAGGATGCCCTCCCCTCCTCCCACTCCAGAATAATTGCTATAATAATGTAAAATGTAAGCTTAAAAATCTCACTAAGAGCCGTGCTATGTGGGTTGTTCAATAGCCCCGTTCTTTTTTTTTTTTTTTTTTTTTTGCAGTGCAGCTAATCGTGAAGCACCGTGTCTCCATTTCATTTTAAGCCATAAGTAGGGTCAACAACCTAAAATGCCCCTGTTAGTAGGAGGCAACTTTAGCGGGATAGGAGTTCTTGGGATTAACTCAGAAACTCAAGTTTCTCAACTCATCGTTGAGTTTTCTCATGCTGTATAAGAAAAAAAAAAAAAAGACCAACTAGCTTATTTTAATCTCTCTGAAACTAACTCAGCGATTCAACAATTCGCACACGGGCTCGGAATTAATCGCCGCCAACACGCGACCGACGTCCGTATTGGCCCGCGTGGCACCCACCGTACGCACCCCTCCCCTGGTTCCGCCCAGTTGAAGGCTGAGGCTGGCGATCACGGCCCCACCCTCGCCACACCAGGCGGGGGGGCAGTGGTCCCGATTGGCTTGCGACCCCACCCGTCTCCGTCAGACCCGACCAAGTCAGCGTGAGCGGGGGGAGGCCGTGGACACGGCAGCCCCACGCCCCAGCTTGCTTTCTCTCGAGAGGAGGCTCGTGCTTGTGGTGGGCGTCGGTAAAGCACCAAATAACCCCGCGGATTCCCACCGCCTGGCGAGCTACCGCAAAACCCCCGAGCCGCTCGCGCCAGGCCGGCCGCGTTCTTCTCCCCCACCCCCCCCACCCCCAGCTGCCGGGTGGAGGAAGGTGCGCTCCGGCAGGCCCGGGGCCCGACCCGGAAGCCGCCGCGCGGGCTGCGCTCGCCTCTCGCCGGGGAAACTCCGGGCCACCCGAGTCCTTGGGCCCGCCGCGGCCTCCTTCCCCGGGCCCCACGGGCCCATGGGTCTCCATGACGACGGCAGGGGCCCGGCCGGGGGGCGGGCAGCCCGGGTGGGGCCGCGGCGCTCCGGGGGCCTCCGCGGCGGCCTGGCCGTATTCGCCGCCGTGGCCGCCGTGTTCACCCTCACGCTGCCCCCTTCGGTGCCGGGGGGAGACTCGGGTAAAGTATCTCAGGGCCGCCCTCCTGCCCCTCTCCCTCGTCGGTCGGCTCGCGCCCTCCATCGCCCCCCTCCCAGTCCCCCCCTGGCGCAGTGCAGCGTTTTGCGTTCCAGAACCGGCTTGTGATTCCATTCCTGTAACCGGGTTCTGTAGTTCTCAGGCTTTGGAGAAGGGGCTTGTTGGTTTCGCCCGGTGGGACTCAGCGACTTCTCCGCTTGCCCGGGGTCCATTTTTCGGGACACGAATTTTCGTTGTCCACTCCTTTTCAGCACCCCCCAAATACTACTTACTGAGTCCTTACCGTGTTCCAGACAAAAGGAATAACGTGGTGGGGACCAAGTATCGTGGAGAATATTCCAGTGTGGGTCGAGACCATACACCAACTACTGCATAAACAGTGATAAGTTGAGTAGTGATGAGTGGAGGGAGTCGGAGGGAGACGGGATGGAGAGTGGGGCTCCACCAGAAAGGCTAGCCAGGAAAGGCCTCTGAGCAGCATATTGTAGTTGAAACCTGGGTGTTGAAAAGGAACCGGCCATGCAGGAAATTTGAGGGCGAACACTTGAAAAAGTGGAAGCTAGGTGTGGCTTAAAACAAGCTGATTTATTAAAAAGAAAAGCCGGGACCATTTAAATGACACGAGCAATTGTTGTGTTTGTTATAGGATTGTCTTATATTTGGGATGAGGAACAAGATCCAGGTTCCGTTTTTGATTTTGTCTTGTTGCCAAATTAAATGACCATCCAGTAATGCCTGACTTTGTCAGAATGGTGTTGTAACTTCAGGTAGTGAATCTATAGGTCGAAAACATGGAGTGTACTAGTTATCTTTTGCTGCCTGACAAGATAGCCCCAAATTTAGTGGCTTAAAACAAATGTTTATGATCTCACTTTTTCTGTGGATCAGGAATCCGGGGGCAGTTTAGCTGGGTGCTCTTACTCAGGACGGGTTGTTGTCATGGTGTGGACGGGAGCTGTCGTCTTCTCGAGGGTCATCTTGGGGAGAGGAACCGCTTGTAACCTCAATCCAGTTCTTTGCCAAGTGGGTCTCTCGGGAAGCCGACCCTTGTGACCAGAGAGATGGCACCTTCGTCGGACACGTCGGTCATTTTGTAAACCTAGTCTTGGAAGTGATTGATGCAGGACTGCCCTATTTTATTCCTGGAAGTTAGTCGATAAATCCAACCCACACTCAAGGGGGAGAGGATTATATAGTGAGAACCCCAGGAGTTGGGGATCACTGGGGGCCGTCTTCAGGGCTGTCTGCCACATTGAAGATCTTTTTTTTTTTTTTTTTTTTTTTTT